CACTCCACCATCACACTCCACCACTACACTCTACCGCCACACTCCACCGCCACACTCCACCGCCACACTCCACCGCCACACTCCACCGCCACACTCCACCGCCACACTCCGCCGTCACAGTGTCACACTCTGCCACCACGGGTCAAACGACCCCTATATCACTACTCACATACAATATAGATAATAATCTCGTATCCACTTAATTGCTTGTATTTACTTTTACTTTTAAATTTTTAGGAACAAATTAAACACAAACAAAAGTTCAACTTAATAAAATTTGATTCTCGGGCGATAGCATGGCGAAGTCGACTTGTTGACTGCACAGATCGGGTAAGTACTGTAGACAGATCTAGAAAAGACGACGCGAGCTCAAAGACGACGCGAATGTCGTCATTTGGCGCCTGCTTCTGGTTTGCGAGGTCGTCTTGGACGATTTCACGACGTGAAAATGCAATTAGAACGTCACAGATTTATGCTTCTTTTGAAAAAAATATGAGAGTATGCATCATGACCGTCATCCTATTTTGTTCGCTATATATAGTTTAATGATTCTAGTTAAATATTTTGTATTGACAAGGATGTTTTTCTTGTATTTCGCTAAATTTTTTGGACGTGTTGATTTTCGACAAATATACTTTCGTCGCCATAACAAATCAAAACTGCAAGCATGGTTAATAACCATTTCAGTACCGCTAGTATTCTTCACCAAAACAAACATATTAGGACAAAATGAACAGCAGTTATAATAATAACTTGGGAAAATAGAAGAATGAAACCACTTTCAAGTGCTGTTTTAAAAAACACTAAAAACTCAATCAATTTCAGTTGTTCTGTCACAACAGTGCGAAGAAGTAGGACAAGTTAAAAAACTCTTTCCTGCGTGAAAAACTATCGTAAACAGTATTAAATTTTACCAATATAAACACTGATGCAATATTTATACTGAACAGTTGACAAACTTGATTGAATCGGCTATACAAATTAAAGCATTTAACTTGTAAACAATACCTGCAGCTTTTGTATTTATTCCAAATGATGCAACAAAGTTCACTTTTCAAAATACCGAAATATACGGGTTTTTCCAAAAAAAAACTTATTGAACGTTCATACAAATTCATTAGGAAATACTTGGCCAGTATTATATAGCTTTTTCTTGCACATATCTTGACAAGTGATTGAAAACAATACAGGAATGAGCAGACAACAAGAAAACAACAATTTGCTTCGAAAAAAACATGCCGTCCGGAAGTGAACGCGGGGTGCATACGTCACTTTCAACGTCGTCTTAGACGTCGCTTCGTGTTTTCTAAATCTAACCAGTGAAAAGTGTCATTGGAATTTCGGTACTGCCTTTATTCGTTCAACGTCGGGCGTGAAAGTTTGCTTTTGCTTCGCCATATCTACTGTACCATCAGCTTTAAATCATATATATCGCTATCACTTTAAACCAATTTGCCAACGCAGAGCTGGCACCAATTTATCAGCATTCGCACGACGATTATTTGAACTTTCAACGTCGTCTTAGACGTCGCTTCGTGTTTTCTAAATCTAACCAGTGAAAAGTGTCATTGGAATTTCGGTACTGCCTTTATTCGTTCAACGTCGGGCGTGAAAGTTTGCTTTTGCTTCGCCATATCTACTGTACCATCAGCTTTAAATCATATATATCGCTATCACTTTAAACCAATTTGCCAACGCAGAGCTGGCACCAATTTATCAGCATTCGCACGACGATTATTTGAACCTCGTGCAAGTGAAATGAACCTCGTACAAGTGAAATTTACGTCGTGCAATTGAAATGAACCTCGTGCAAGTGAAATTTACCTCGTGCAAGTGAAATGAGCCTCGTTCAAGTGAAATGAACCTCGTGCGAGTGAAATGAACCTCGTGCAAGTGAAATGAACCTGGTGCAAGCGAAATGAACCTCGTGCAAGTGAAATGAACATTGTGCAAGTGAAGTGAACCTGGTGCAAGTGAAATGAACCTTGTGCAAGTGAAATGAACCTTGTGCAAGTGAAATGTACCTCATGCAAGTGAAATGAACCTCCTGCAAGTGAAATGAACTTCATGCAAGTTAACGTCTCCAAAATTATATTTCTAGAATATAAACGATGCTTGGCAGTGGATAAAAGGTTTGACTGTCGGTGGTAGTACGAACACATTAGCTGCTCTGAAGCTGGCGCTGTCTGATGAACTCTGTGAAGCTATTTATCTGCTAACTGATGGCAGGCCAGACCAGGTAAGTGCTAACCTATGCTACTTCGGGCTTGTTAACTGGGAAACGAGGCAGCCCGGCTAGGTGAGATCTCACCTTCACGCTAGGTGGGATCTCGGTCAAGTGGAATAAATATTTCATATGAAGGCTTTATCCCACCTCACCGGTTTGGACATTTTGACCTATAAGAAAGTACTGATCGGCATCGTTGGAAATGCAAACAGAAAATAAACATTAGTAGACCTAAATAGATACTGTTAAAGTGTACAGTTCATGGCGCAGTACATTTAATTAATTACAACAAAAAAATATTTCGAAGGCACTATGTTTACATAATTTCGTTCCACCGAGGCGGGATAGGTGGAATAAAAAAAGTAACTGTATTAACAGAAATAATTTATCCCACTGATCATGAGGTGAGCTTCCAGGCAAACAGGGCTCATATGAACAGGCCCTAAGACTGAGTTCACACGACACAAATCTGTTCAGTTCACACGGGAATTCGCATGTTTAGTCGAGTAGGTTCGTTAGTAGAGTTCGTCGAGTAGGTTCGATTATTATACAAAATAATGAATGTCTTCATTCGTGTGGTCCACTTTATAAACTAAGCTCTTGGCAGTGTGAGTGTGTGCTTTAACTTAAGCTTGCCATAGTTGTAAGTGTGCTTTGATTTTCAGTTGCTTTGCAATATTTTCGTTTAGTGTAATTATACATCCGATGGGGCTTCGGTGGCGCAGTCATCAGAGCAAGCGCCTTTCACCTCTGAGATCGTGTGTTCGATTCTCGCTACGGACTCATGTGAAAAGAGTCAGTCAACGCTCTATGAAAAGTCGTGGGTTTTATCTGGGTGCTCCGGTTTCCTCCCACAGGGAAAGTTGACAGGGTGGGTTAGGACATAGTTAGGATAAACACTGTTAAGAAAGTAATATCACAACTGTTGTAAAGATAAAATAGGCTAGGCTCAGTAAGTAAGGCGCATTTGATCAGTAAAGCGCATTTGATCATATCCACATGTAATCGTAATCGTATTCTTTTTGTCGTTATAGCCAACAAGTACAATTTTGGCGCAGATTCATTTACGAGATCCCATTCCAATCCACACGATTTCTTTCAACTGTTCAGATGGGGCTGCAAATGAATTTTTATGTAAATTAACAGAACTTACCAATGCTAGGTAAGATACAGTTCATACAATATCATATGTATTGTTAAACGTTTGCATCATGCAGTCATGTTGATGAAATTCTTGGAACTGCTGATAAACATTTTTTTGAATTCAATATATACGTGGGTTTCATTTAAACACAGAGTATATCGGGAGTGAAAACAGAATACTGAACTGATATAGGTTCGTTAGCAATTATTATACAAATAATGAATATTTTCATGGAGTGAAATATGGAATATTCCATTCCATGTATGTATACACGCATGCATGCATGCATGTGCACGAGGCAACAACTGATCGAGTGTAATGGAAAACTACATCTTTCACCAAATGAAAATGTTTTTTTTTACCATTGCACGAATAAAACCATTCATTATTGGCAGGTTTTATTCGACACCACAATGGATCAATGTATTGAATGATTTACTGAACTAAATGCGAAACAAGTGCACATGCGTGCAGCTAAGTTACACATATGACGTTCAAAATTAATATAACATGCAATCCAACAAACAAATTCGAAAAAATGTTTTAATGAAAAAATAATATATTATTAATATATTAATGATGGCATTCCCTTAATTAAATATCCATCCACATTAAAGGTTAAATTGGCACATTAAGGTTAAATTGACTACGATCACGAAACCGTGCAATTGAACAAAAACACAAAAACCTGCGTCTGAACTGTGGAAGGCATGGAACTGTCCATTTCGCGATCATGAAACTGGAAATTGTTTGCATATATTATATGATCATAATCGGCACAATTTAATGGGGAGTTATGTATAACTTTTGTGTTGCTTGTGATGTCACTTTGAGTGTGCATCCACACCGGGCAAGCTGAAAATTTTGGGAATCGAAATGCAAATGAATAAGAATACAGGTATCTGCCCATCTTTGAGTCAAATTCAGAATATTATTCAGCCAGCAAGAGCATTGTCATTCAATTTCTTTATAATAAAAAAAGAAATAAGAAGACGTTTTTCTAAGCCGGTTGCAATTTTTTTCCAAAAAATAAATTCCAAATCGTTTAATCTTGCATGCTGGTGTACATTAATTCTCAATTTTATGTCCTATGTTGTAATGCAATTGTCGCACTTCTCTGCAGGTTTCACTATTTCTCGGAGAATGGAAGTGTTGGTGGAGAATCAGTAAAAGTATATGAGGTCAGTATTTGCACTATGAAGATTTTTCTTCGGAAAGCTTGAAATTCTGGATGTTGATACTCCTCACTTGGTCGCAGTTTTATATAGAGCTGCGTGGCACAGCGAAACTTACTAAAACGTCACAGAATTGTACACAGCAAGCTTGTCTGCATTGGAAAGCTAAATATTAGCTTAGAAAATTTCTATGAACGTTTGGCACAAACAGCTTATTAACAAGCTCAATATTTGCTGTGATTTGCAGAGCGAGGACGTTCGCCTGATCCGAGAAGAAATCGAACAAGCAACAAGAGATCTTGAACGGTTAACAAGATTGCGCGATTGGTGCGCAAAACTGGACTGGGTTAGTAGTAACGCCAACAAGACCAACTCCAGGTAGGAATTTTGCTGACTCGTTATGAATCGCTCTTTAGGGGAAGCCGCTTTTCGGGTTTCTCCTTAGCGAAGCACGGTTTGGGTGTTGCTTGTAACCACTAATTGTCTTGAGCTTTCGCCTTGATAGGTTATGTCATTGTAGTTGATCTTAACTGCATATGTTTTGGGCGTTTTCTTCGCGTACCCCGGCTTTCCTTCTCGAGGTTTAAAGCAGTCATCTTTCAACACGTAGCTTAAATATTCTTTAAAATTAATTAACTAAAACATAGCGAAATAATGAAATCATCCAATCCAAAAAGTAAAGCAAAGATAGAGCTGCTGGACGATGTCAGTTTCAGTCCCTTTCTATTGTTTTTATCTGCGCGGCTGGACACGAAGCTGCAATTAAGGAGTGTAATAATATTATCCTTTTATGAACTGATAACTTCATTATCGATACGGTTTAACTGGATTTATAGCTTGGGAAAATGGTATTAAGACTGTTCACGTCCTTCGTAGAACGATATTGGACATCAATTCCGCCATCTTGGGTTCACTTTTCTCACATGACTGAAGTTCTTGCTCGAAATATATATATAGAGAGCTCACTGATATCAGGCGAAATATGTATCGCCTGATATGATTTACAATGTCTTTATCTTAGAGTTACATTAAGAATCTTTATAAACGATGTAATGGTATACAACACACATAATTATGTCCGCTCCGTGTTGCGAAAGAAAATAAGTATAAATAAAATTTCTTTATCAGAACTCAGACGAGACCGTCAAGTGCTCCGCCGATTGTAAAATCGAAAGAACCTCTTCGACCTTCAAGACCTCGCGTGGTCAGAAAAAAGAAGAAAACAACAAAGACTGCGAATAGAGGTGAAAATAAGAAAATTTCAAACCAAGAAAGTTCGACATCATCTGACGATGATAGCACAGTGAAGTCTGAGTCAAATACAAACGACGATGAACGAACGTTAATAATAAAATCAACAAAGGAATTGGGCAGCGACGTTAAGAAACCCGAAGGACCCGACAAAGGTCTGTATAATCATCGGATGAAAATACCTTTACCATGCACATTGTTTTGTGAATAACACCAAAGAAGTCATTGTTATTGAATGATTTTTTGAGTTTTTAAATAAATCAGTCGGCTAGATTTGATGCATTCTGCGGAAACGTTGCTAAAAGCGACAAAATGGGTAATACCAAAATCCACTGCTCTGCAGTGGAACGTTCCATTGCAGAGTCAATGAAACGAAATTCATTCATCACGTGATCATAATCCGGCAATTAAATGACGCTAATACGACGTTATATTGTTGTCAACATGTTTTTTACCACATAAGGTACCCGCAACGCTACATATGCTCATCGCTTTTGTTCACTTTCTTTGTGCACACAATTAAAGAACATGCTGCAACATTTTTTGAAATTTTGAAAAGCAGACTTTAATGCATGCAAGATGCCGAAATGAGGCATCTGCGCCTCATGTAACCTCCTCGGCTGGATTTACCTGCGTATGTGTCATTGAACGTTTGCATTTTTTACTTTAAGACAAAATTCCAAGAAGAAAGAAGACAAAGAGAAAAATTGTACCGTAAGTCTGAAATTAATACTTTAATAATCTGTAGCTACAGTGATTATTATAACTGTAGAGTGGTTTGAGTCATTATACTCGATACATCAAAACAAGGGGGATGAAGTTGTAAAAAGTCATAAAGTGCATTACAAAATCTTGAATTTTGAAATGCAAGAAATTCACAACTTTGATAAAAATTCCTCTCAGGATTGAAAATGCTCTTCCTAGGCTTCGGAAACGCATTTTTTCTGGGAGGAGTATGCCCCCGACCGCTCTTGGTCAAGATCCCCTTCCCCCGCTGGAACTGATAATTCGATGCTGTGGTTTTCTTGGAATATATTAGTTATATTGGTTTCATTGTTCTTTGTAATATTTTCTAGACATTCATGCGTAAAAGATGACTTGGACCTAACAACTGTTAACAAAATTTCACCAACTCGGCATAAAGTAACTTCGCCGCCGACAGTAAGTCATGCATTATAATTATCTACCGTATTCGGGGATATTTTTTTATGGGAGCACACATAAAATATCCCGAATATAACAAACACACAAATTATGTTTTTATCATTCATATAACCACTTACAAGCACATAATGCCGATTCCTTAAGGTAATTTGTTTTTAAACGTTTGCAACCGGATTTTGGTGTTCAAATAAAGAACGAGCCCAAACGCACCACAGAGTTAAATTAACAATTAAGAAACGTTTGCTTTGTTAACCCTCAAACATTGTTAACAAAATTGAGGCACTGCTTTTCCAATCAACTTTTAGAAAAAGTGTTTCAATTATAAATTGACATCGACAGGTGTTCATTTGCCTAATCAGTGGAGATTGGCAGTGGCCAAGCCAGCCCGACAATTTGGTCATGCTGTTTGCCAAATTGTCGGGCAGGCTTCGCCACTGTAGATTGGTAAAGGATTTTGTAGATGGAGTGTAAATTTTAAACATTTATGAAGACCGGACCATATGTAGGACCAATGCGAAAAATGCACCTATAGGCCCTCAGGCAGGAATCAAACCTGTGGTCCTGCGATTTTTGTGCACGCTCTAACCAACTGAGCTTCAGAGTCCTGTTGTCAAGCCCTAACCAAAAGGTTATATGCATGTGTACTGGTTATACATGTATAAAAAAAAAAGGTGATGTCATGGCAATGTATATGGGTAAATATCAGGATTTTTGGGCATCTCATATAATATTGATGTAATATTTGTACCATTTAATGAATTTTAATGTTGTTTCCTTTTGTTAATAAAGAGGTATACGGTACTTCGTTTATCCAGGTTCGATTATAAGAACATTCAAAATCATTGTATTCTCGAACAAGTTTGGTTTCCTCAATTTTCAATGTTTTATATCGTCTGTATAGAAATCATCAAAACCCGTGGAACAACCTAAGTCACAATGGATCAGAAACCATAAGGTGTTGGCAAGAAACAATGTGGACGGTTTTTACTATCCAGGTCTTCTTCGTGTTAACATTAATCCTCGATATGCAGATGTTTCGTTTTGTGATGTGGAGAGTCAAGTCGTGTCTCTGCGTCATATTATACCAAATGAAGGATCACGACCTTGTCCTACTTTAAAGGTATTACGATAAATTGCTTCAACCTTGGTAGAGTGGTAATATATACTGTGGAATTGGCCAGTACAGTACAGTGCAGTGCAGTGCAGTGCAGTACAGTGCAGTACAGTACAGTACAGTACAGTACAGTACAGTACAGTACAGTACAGTACAGTCATTTTATCGATAATATATTTTCATCCAATTGATTAAAACGATTAAGGTAATTTTTCGAAATGATTAAAATTAATTGGCGTTCGGCACCAAGAAGGATTAAAAGGGTTACATATGAACATGTTTGTGTAAAGATTTTGACCATCGTTGTTTGGTCTGTTGAACAATTCTATTTTCGCTGACTCTTTTAGTCAAACTTGTCAATAAAGCTAGTTACTTTACAAAAGAAAAGGAAATTGTCAAGGTAAATCTGTCAAAGAAAACTTGTATAGCTGTATATTTACACATGAGAATGGGCATACGACTTACCAAGATAAAACCTGTGATATATGGAAAACGTGTTCGTCAGAAAATTCAGTTCATGTCCCGCCGAGTCAATCCCCTATTCGTTTCGTTCGATTGTCACAACATATATTCAGTCTAGCTATACTTATAATAATGAATTATTCTTCCAAAATATTAGGTCGGTGATTTTGTTCTGGTCAAGTTAGTCCGAGAAGGTCGTCCACCTTCTTATGTACCAGGCGTTGTGTACGTTGTTCCATTACGACAGTCAAAAGCGACCAAATACCACACAATCATTCACTATAATGGATCAAAGGTAAAAATGTCTTCTTATATCACTGCACTATAATCGAATAAAGAACAATGAGTTTCTGTTAAAATATCATTAAATAGTAAGTAAAATTCTGCAGTTTAGGAAGTTTTATGTAATTATTTTCCGTATAACTTCGTTCTTGACCATATGAAATTAAAGTGCAAAACCAAAGAGCCTAAAAATAGTGATATAATATATAAGATTTTTTCTCAGTATTTTGGCTATAGAATGTATTGCTCTTACCTTGCTCGATCGCTTCATCCAAACGTTGTTTAAATTTGTTATTGTATGTATGTTCATTACATTGATCGCTTTCTGCATGCTGTAGCTATGTAATAGTTGTAAACAAAATAGTATCTGGCTATAAGCTTTTAGTAACTTCAATCATTAGATTAAATAGTTTTAAAGAATATCTCTACTCCTCTGCCGACACTGTTAAACAAACTTTGGTGACTTTCTTTGTGTTTGCGAAACCGTAGCGTCGTTTAGTAAAACAAATTGAAGTAAATAGTGCAAGGATATCCGTAGCTGAACAAGTAATTAAACTGCGCAAAAAGTACTATCCAACCCCCCAGAATGTACTAAATGCAATTATCTTCTTTTTAGGCCACTGCACTCCGTAAGGATATTGTGAAAATATCTCAATCTCGTTATGCCTTTGCTTGTCGCTATATTAAAGATTGTGAAATTACTGCCAACAAAAGGTACATAAATTATCATTTTTTGTTCTTTATGTAGAAGTTGCTACAGTATTTACAAATGCATGTACATTTTGAAGTATCGAGCTTATAAATGCTAACATACAGTATACATAGCTATACGATTACGATTAGCATTTCAATAGCGCAAATTTACATGTCGATGTGATCAAATACGCTTTACATCACCTAGTACTGGATGAATTTAATTATTATTAGGATGTTAGGGTTTGTAATCCAAGTGAGAATATATACATTTTAAGACCTAACCAGGAACGACTGCGAAAAATGCAGCACAAGGTCCTCCTCTTTGATAATTCGTGAAGTATCAAATTGTGTGCTTGTACCTTTTAGCTCTTAATCTTACGAAACCTATTGAGAGCATATCTATTAAGAACAACCATACAGTATGTTCTATCAGATTGGAGTAAAATAAAATCTGTGGACTGCAGAAAATATATTAATGGCATACGATATACATGCATGTAACGACAGTCTCATGGTAAATTTATTTTTATTTGTTTTTTATTAGCCCTGTGATAGCGGTATTTAATTCAAAGAACGCGCAAGGTAAATGCTTTATATTCCTGTCTTTACCCATACCCCCTTTCTGCATTAACTGAAAACAAAAAACATGATTCTTTGTGCGAATTTCCTTATAATTATACTGTACTTTTAAAAGGCACAACATTTGCTATTGCTCAAGGTAATAAGAAAGGATCGAGAGATACAGCTACCTGGAAATATATTAAGCAGAACTTCGATGTTTCGAGCGAATGCCCTTCGTCGGGAAGCTAGTAGGCTACTATGGCACTTCCGCTACAAATGTCCCGAGTTCTGCCTATATTTTTCAGGCAGTAGTATCTCTTACAATTAGCCATTCCGAAGTTGATGGGTGGACTGGGAACGAGTGTTAAAAAGTGCCCAAATTAAGAAATGAAAAGACCACCTCAAAATTAGTAAGTGTACAAAGTTTGAAGACGTTTACATGAATATCCTTTGAATAATAAGCTTTCGAAAATCCGACATTTACTATGAAATGTATTGCAATTTTGGTTTTTGGGACGCGCGTCCCAAAAACAATCTTTTAATCAGTAATTTCATAATTTTCGAAAGCTTATTATTCGAAGGGTATTCATGTAAACGTCTTCGAACTTTGTATACTTACTAATTTTGAGGTGGTCTTTTTAATGATTTAGTTCATTTCTTAATTTAGGCACTTATTAACACTCCTTCCCAGTCCACTCTTCAACTTCGGAATGGCTAATCCGCAACTTCTTGTTATCGTCGCTACTTACACTGGCACCGACCGTTCGAGATAATTAAAGAATGCGACTATTGGCCCGCTATAGTTACTCAAAATTTCCGTTACTGGCGTCTGCAAATTAAGTTACATCATAGTCTGTCAAGATATGATGATCTGGAAGCCCGGCAAAATGGCAGGCTACAAAATACAAAATAGAAGGCTTGGTGTTGAACTGTATCTCACCGTGCACAAATCCTTTATTTCAATTCATTAAATATTATTCGTTGTGGTTGCACGTTTCATCTCAGCTATTCCTATTGCATGCATGGGCAGTTACTTCGTTATACGAAAATACAGTCACCGTGTTCGTTCACAAATTAACATAGATTCAGACAAAAACATCAAACGATGACTAAACATATTAGTTTCCAAGTCATCATACCTTGATAGACTATGGTCACATGTGTATAATGTTATAATATTACTGTTTTTTACGCTTTAACATGATTTCCATCTTCAAAATCAGGTAGCGATTCCTCCGACAATGATGAAAGAAAAAATTTAAATGACAATAAATCAGAAGACATCAGCAGCAAAAAGAATGGCAGTGACAGCTCTGATGATGACGTAAACAACAAAAATAAAAACAGAAATAAAGACGATGGCAGCGATAGCGATTCTAGTTTGAACGCGAACACCAAAGTGTCACCTCGAAATTCGGCAAATGATGAACTAGAACGAATGAAGCAAGAGCTGTTAGATACTAGAGAATCACAAATGAAATCATTTGAAGAGCAGCAAAAGCGTTTTGAAGAGCTACAACAACAAGTTAAAGACGCCATGGATGAGCAGACAAGACGACAGGAAGAGCTGAAGAAACAGTATGAAGAAATGGTTGAAAACAAAGGCAAGCTTGATGACGGCGGAAAATATATGAATGAGAACGAACTAGAAGAGGCGAAGAGAATGCTTGATGAAAAGCAAGAGGATATTATTAATGATTTTAAGAAACATAAAGAGCTACTTGAGCAGTTACTGCAGCAACAAAAGGCGAACATGGAGGGAAAAGAAACCGAAAAACACTCGGACGAGAACAAGAAGACCAAACGCAAAGGTAAGAAAATTGTAGGAGAAAGCGTTTATCTGAAGTATAAGAACGAAGAATACTGTAACAGTGGTATTACACAAACGTTTAATATTGTTACTCTAGGGGAATAACTATTTTCCTGTATCTAAAAACGTTTACGATAGATTTAAGGATTATATCCGTTGTCGCTAGAATTTAAAGCCTCACAATGAAGTTCTAAAAGGTATGCTTTTAGGAGGGGAAGGTAAGTCTGGTACTGCTATTATCGTGTTCGCAAAGAAGTTTGAAATATTTTTTGCATATTGAATAAATTTCATTACGTGAATTTCCGTATCTATTTACGTCAAGGCTGTGATGGTAATTGAAATGCCCAATCTTTCCTTTTTTAACACACAACATACAATACATAAGCAAAGCAAATGAGTAAAAGGAGCAATGTTGCTATTGTTGTATATGACATGTAGTGCAGATATTCGTCCAAAATCCAGAACCATGCGACAATTTAAGAAAGTCAGCAAAATATAAAACAAAAACCGAAAACATTTTGGAAGCCCCAATACATTATGGACTAAAAAGAAGACGTAAATTTTAATAATATTTTTTGTATCATTTATGGGTTTTTCAAGACGGTTTTATTTTTTTTTTCATATTTTATTTTATTGTAGATCTAGCAGATCTTAACGCAGTTTTTCCTTTCTTAAGGGAACTCGAGTTCATCAGACAGTAACAGCAGTTCCAATAACTCACATTCAGACAATGATTCACCACAACCACCGCGCCCTGAGCAAGATGAAGAAAACCTACGAGAAAACCCGGAAGATGAAACGCCATCCAAAATCCATTTTCATGTTAGATCAGGGCAAAAGGAAGCCTGCCTTTGGACCAAAGGATCCCATGGATTGCTGATTTGTAAGTATTGATTTTAAGTAAAATGGTGAGATATGCATACTGTATGTATTAGTAATTTCAGTTTGATAATTTATTTCAGTCTGGAAATAAAATTTTATGATAAATGATAGCAAAAAATATAATCCATTTTTATAAAGATATCTTAACAGTACCTACAGGTAGGCCTTTACCTTTTCTGTGAATATAATGATGGAAGCAATGGTGATGTTTAGTGTGTATAATGCTGTTGAAAATTGTAAAGAACATGCCAATTATTAAGATGATAAACAAATTATCGTAGTTTTAATATCCCTTGGTGTTGTTCATTAATGTCGATGGTTGCAATGGGGATGGTAATGGTAACGATGTTGTTATGGATGATAAAGTTTCGGTTAAGTGTACGTGTAATTGAAATAATAATCGCAAGGGTCGTGGTAAAAGTATTGATGAAGGTAGATGTAATGGTGATAGTGATGGTACAAGTAATGGTAATATTAATATAAGTTCTAATGCTAGTGCTAGTGCTAGTGTCAATGGTATATATAGTCCTGATGGTAGTGTGATGGTAATTTGTATCATAATGATACTCTAAAGGAAATGATATAGTGGGCATGGTAGTAGTTTTTTATTGATTGATTGATTGATTGATTGATTGATTGATTGATTGATTGATTGATCGATTGATTGATTGATTGATTGATTGATTGATTTGATTGATTTGATTGATTTATTTATTTATTTGATTTACTTACGAGGGCAAATAGAGTGATAATAATCACTTATGTTGTAATAGAAATGCTTATACTCTTTATATAAACAATAACAATAATCTCTGATTACCTGAAATCTGTTCTACGTAACGTTTCTGTTTCCTGTGAGCGTATTGATTTGCGGCCGTTTTAAAATGAGGACAAACTAAAAAGACCATTAGATCGCATTAAGAGCGCAGTGATCGACTTATTAAAACTCTTCTATGAAGAGAACCTAACCCGATGTATACCCACGATGGTTATATGCGCTTGTTGATTATGCGCTTTTTTTTGGGTTTTTTTCGACGATGATAAGTATTTTGTTTTTCGATTATCATAATTCAGCTTCATTAATATTTTGACTGCTGTTGTGCCTGATGGATGATAGTTTGTTCCAGACAAACGACATGGTAGTGTCATCAGCATTTTTGTCAGTTACTGTACTTATAGGTACTAAAAATGGTACTGGGCCAAGGATGGACCCTTGAGAGACACCATGACTTATGCGCGTGTACGCAGAACGTCTTCCATCCATCTTGACATGCAGTGGTAAAAGTTCTATAGGTGGCACTAATTGTAGTTGTAAAGATATTGATATCGGTGGTGATCATTTTTTGTTTCATTTCTAGCACGTGCACCACTTGACAAAGATCCTGCTGTAGAAAATCGACCTGTTCCAGCACCATTACGAAACGGAGAAGAAGTTTTAGCTCAATGGTCAGACGATGGATGGTATTACAGAGGTATGAGAACGACATACGTCTTGCCTACAAACGTATTTAAAATCTATTTCTTCTTTTGATATCTCATTAACACTGATTATTAAGGAATATATTGCTGACCGTCATAAATTTTGTGTTTTCATCGTATCATTTTTGTAATAAATCGTTTCTAAAGTGCAAAACATATAGAAACGTTTTTAATTGGCTATAGATGTGTATGCGATAAAAAATTAATTGGAGCTGTTGCTCTTTTTTAAACACTAATTATCTAGTGCATTACTTCCTCCAGTTGGTTTATTCCATGAAGAAACTATATGCCTTGTTTACAATATCAAAACCTTCATTCATATAAATATATGTTATTGATTGAGCGAGATGTCCAGATTGTAGGATATTAGTCAAATTCTTTCTCGTTTGTCAATGAACTGAGTCGCAGGCGAGATCCATATACCAGCAAAAAAAGAACGACACTAATGTCCTAAACTGTCCGGACCGAACAAGCTCGTTCAATAAGTTGTTTATTTACTTATTATCTGACTAAAAACAAGAAAGAGTATTCTTCAAAAAACAATGTCGTTGTCAATGTTTATAAAATTAATTAAGTCGAGAATTAAATTTGAACATTTAAATACGCAGGATTTTAATATTTGAGAACAATTTTTGACGAAAATAGAACGATAACGTCATATTTTCAGTCTTTCAGATATTAATATACATTAGTATAATTACATAGGTGATTATTGACAATTCTCCACACTGATTGGTTGCCGTTGAGGTAATTATAACACGATAATCATGTAAGCGATTTTCGAAATGGCGGCCGAAGCCGTTTTGTCGATTAAATGACGACGAATTGTGTATTTTTTTATTTTTTTCCAAATAATCACGTATGAAATTATACTAAAACAATTATTCACCTCAGGCTCGGTGATTATCGTGAATAAAAACCTCGACTTCGTCTCGGTTTTTATTCACCGATAATCACCTCGCCTTCGGCAAATAATTGTTAATTATTGAAAGTCGGAAACACAGCAGTTTAGTTCGCCGAAACGTCGTTCAATGGCGGCTTTTAGTAAGTAGTATAGTAATAAGATCAGTTTAATTTTTTTTACTATAGGTACAGTGCAAGAGACCACAGGAGAGAAATATCTTGTTGAAGACAGTGTTGGGAATATAGAGGAAATTTCGAGAGAAAATATTATAAGCGATGAAGATGACGCTGCTAACTCGATTCAGGTACAGTAGGTTTTAAAATTATAATATCTTGCTTACTTTACTGACCAGGCAGACATAGCTACCTTTATAATAATAATGCAAGTCGACGATAATTATAATAACGAGAGTGTAGGAATTCCAGATTTATTTTGTATTTTTGTGAGGAAGATACTGTAATTAACCAGTAAAAAATACATTCACAAAATGTAAAACATTCTACGATTCGCAATGCGATTAGTTTTCCGTATGGTTTTCAGTAAACCAGTTTAATGTATACTATTTTCCCATCCATACATTTTGTATTCATTAATTATGGCCCTTCTTTCTGCCTCTTATTAAATCCCGTGCAAATGAATTTAGATCTAGGTACAGCTTACTTCCACTTTTACGTAAATTAATTAATGACGTCTAGGTTTTAAAGGGAAATCCCCAATATCGAAAATCTCTTTTCTGGAATCTGCTAGCACATTACTAGCACGGTAACATCAGTCATCAGAGATACTTTGAAGATGAAGTTGTAGCATTTGTCGTTCTAAACGACATTGGATTTTTGGGATTGATGGGTATGCAGGTTGAAGTCTCCAGATTTAATTGTACCTTAAAGATTCGAAAGATTTTTATACCTATCCTTTACATCAGACAGATATACAGGTAATAATGGAGTACCAAGTGATCCAGTAACAAATATTATCTTGTTAGGTCAATGATGCCGTGATTGCGCTCCATCCAAGCTTTTCGTTTAGCTACGCACCAGGTATACAATCTAGATGAATTTAAATAATAATGCAACGCTATTTGGCATTTATAATACCAATTCTTTGTTCTCAAATTACAGGTATTGTGGTTAATACCAACAATGACATGTTGTTCAGCGTTCGATTCTACGATGGTCGTGAAGATGTCATTCCACGTGAAGAAGTGTACTATCTAGGCCACGAGAAATTTTCTGCCGATGTGGAATTTATTGTACGTTGTGAAGAAAGTTTGGTAGGCAAAGCCGTTGTCGCTAGGAATGATGCGGACGGATTCTTCTACCTGGGTGAGTTTGTATAATTAATGTTCATAATGATGGAGAGTAAGTGGGGAAAAGAGGGATGGAAAGCTAAACAATTACGGGAACTGTGGGCTTGACGTCATCAAGAAATCATGATTTGCCCAAAAACTAAGGCGAAGCTCTCGTGCTTAATTTTTTTTATTTCGAGACGATTTTACAGAACGCTTGACTGCTCTTAACTATCCTGTTTGTCGTTAAATGGCGGTTAGCTCTCAAATACCGCCATCCTCACTCTACATCCATTATAGTTGACTTTAGCCACTTTTCATACAACTAACATATTATCGTGCTTCTTAGGTAACGTACATGACCGCGTTGGAAACGGACGCCAATATGTTGTGCAGTGGCCGGAAGGCCCTTGCCAAGTACAGGTACGGCATTATTATAATTTATGATATTATCAAAGCCTAATGCCTTTAATGTAGTACCAAAAATAACATGTAGTTAACGTTTACTGTAACGGTAATACTATAGTACAGTAATAATAGGCTAGGGTTGATAAAAAAAAAAGATAAAGTTTGTCACTACCAGCGGCTTTTTTTACTTTGAGGTGGCTCGATACAGATTTTTAAAAATGGAAAATTTGCGATTTAGATCCGTATTTTTGGACAAGTAGGCTATTACTTGTTGAAACAGAAAAAACATCTTACTTATATATGTAAAACAACCATCTAAAGGGTTTGAAATTTTTCACAAATGTTACACAACTGTTGTTGTTTTATGGCAACAATGACGTTTCAATATGGCGAATGTTTTGGCTTTAAAGTAATTTAACTCGTAAACGACATCGTGACCCCAATTTTTATTTTATAAAATTATTTCTCGTTGAAAAATGAATTATTTTGATAATTTTAAAAACGTTCTGTTAAACCAACGTTTTTCGAATGACGTAAATGCGATTATTCATAATAATTGTTTTTAGTTTACACATTTTCCAACACTTCACAGGAAGTTCAATTGCATTCTAGTTTTAACTTGTTTTTTGCAGAGCTCTTCTTTGATATTTGGTGCCCATACTAAGCGTCATCAACTGGCCATAGGAGATAGAGTTTTGGCATTAAGTGATAAAGGTAAGTATTTTTAAAGTGAAAGAACTGCTGTGTATTGTACTTGAATACTCTAAAACTAGTCTATGATGCATTAGTCTATCCATATTCAACATGTGGAAATCTTGTATGGGGAAATACGTACAAAACACGGTATACAAAAAAATATCCGCTTAATGTCATTTAAGTCCAATTTCGATCACACTGGACCAAGTTTCAGATTTGAAAATACCCAATCTTCCAAAGGTCGTTTATTTATTTAACTGTCATATTCATGTTCCACTACCACAATACAGAACATTTACACGGAACATTCTTAAATGTTAAAACAATTTGTTTATAGAAAATAACGATATTCATAATTAAGTACAAAGAAATATACATGCTTCCAATTTTCGCAAAAGCTATCGATTGAAAGAAGTTAAACAAACTATATGGTAAACATTCCCTTGCTAGTAAAGGGATTAACATTTCGAGTGACCTTATAGTCAAATTTAAAAAACATCAAATTTTCGTTGTCTTCAAAGAGAATGTCAATGCTGATAAGATCAATTATTGGTATAAAATATAGATAATTGGACAAGTACAGCTAGGTGTAATACATTATCGCCCGTATTCTAAAAGCTCACTCACACTCAATGAGTGGAGGTTCAATATGAGCTTCTCTTGAGTGTCAATACTGTTTTTGAATAGCTGGAGGGTGAGTAGTCACGTAGTAAGGTATGACACTGGCCCTCTAGCTATTCAAAAACAGCAATGGGACTCGAGAGAAGCTCATATTGAACCTCCAGTACTCATTGAGTGTAAGTGTGAGTGAGCTTTTAGAATACGGGCGTAAATGTAGCCTTTATTGAGAATACCAGTATTACAAAAATAATATTTATTATTCTGTACTCCGACTACTTGTGATGAATATATGTAAAAAAGCTAAGGAAACTACAGTGACTAAAATTAGGTGATCAATTCATGAGATATAATTAAAAGGAGTAAAGGATTTAAGAGCGAGAGAATGAAATTGAGTAGGAAAGTCAACCCTGTGCGCGTTTCGACCTAACAATCTTCTTCAGCAGGGGTTTGATAAGAAGGGGTGTATAGGTTAGTGGTTAATGTATAGATACTTTTGGAATTGATACGATTACTGAGACTAAGTCAATAGTAAGTATAAGTATAACGCTATTTTGCCAAAGGCAATGACGAATATATCAGAAATGAGAACGCCTGGCTGCATCATGTATACTATATATATATAACATCTCCGACTTCGATGGAAGAGAAAACAAGTTTGTTCGTGGGAAGTGCTTTTGTATTGTATTTCGTACTTCTTCATTGTTTTCACAAAGCTCACTTCGCTCATTTGGTTTATGAAAGTATCTAGGCCTATACATATCTCTGAAACGTTTGACGTTGAAAATATATCGCCTGTGTAAAATTGTTAATTTTGTAGGTTGCGTTTTAGCAGAGCTTGCGTTTCGATAGCAGAGCGTATACTTCACTTCACGTAATTGAATTATTTAAGAAATAGAAAACATTTTCCGTGTTTCTATTGAGTTATAGAAACACGCGTGAAAGTTTGGGAGAAACGAGAAATTGCGTGGGAACACGAGCACGAAGTGCGAGTGTTTCCACGCATTTTCGAGTTTCTCCCAAACTTTCACAAGTGTTTCTATAAACTCTATAGGAACACGGAAAAAATGTTTTCTATTTCCTTTATTAAATAGCCTTTTAAAAACAATATCAAAGATAAATTTATTGATTTTAATTGCTTTCATTCAAATATTAATTCCACCTTAATATACGTTAGAATAATTATAAAAGCATAGCGAAGTAAACAAGTATATCGCTGTCAAAACAACAGACATGCAGCACTTAACAGGCTCACTTTATTAAAGTATATAATTCACTTAACAACGTACATGCTTGCATGCAAAGAAAGCACTGTTTTAAATAGTTAGTGAACGTTTAAACATCATTAAAAACTATAGTAAACATGATTAAAAACGTCGCGAGGAAATTTTTTTTAAAAGACAAAGTAAAATTAAAATATCTTACCTTGGTAAACAGTCAAACAGACACAACGTGTGCTATAATTATACTTTGTGCTTTAGGTCTTCGCTTTCTATGTTAGCAAAGTGTTGCCTTTTTTTGTAACGGTTCTTCGGCGTTTCGGGACGTTTTTCAACTTTTTTCAAAATTAAATATTGTTTGTATTTTGTCTTTTGAACTCCCGCGCAACCCACGCAACCGGCGTGAAAATTCCCCGTGTTTCTATCGAGTTATAGAAACACGGTTTTTTTGAGCTTTTGACCAATCAGCGCCCGTGTTTTTAAAAGGCTATTTTATAAATATATTTATGCCATTGCAGCGCAAGGAATGTATGAACCTGGATTGATTACTGGTGTTAAGGGAAAGAAACTGGATGTAAAATTTAGCAGCCGGAAAAAGTATGTATTCATTTCTCGAAATATTTAATATTAATATAAATTTCATTGTAATAGTTGTTCTTAATTGAAAAACTAAAATTATTAACGTGCGCTAGCGTCTTTGTCTTGTACAAAACACTGCAAAAAATGCTGGTTTCTTAATACTGCATTATGTTGTACAATAGTATAAAATTAAGTGCTTCGTTTCTTTTCCAGGTCCAGCCAAGTTGACCCTTTGCAATGTTTCTGGCTCTCAAGTGATTATTATGATAGAACGGTAGAATATATCGCCCAATTACATAGTTTTAATGGGAGAGCTCCGCACATGAGATAATTTTGAAATACGAACCTTGATCTGCACTACCTACAGTATTTAACACGTTGACCCAGAACTGAACTAGAGTCTGAACAAGTGAATTATGAAAGCGGATTACTAAATATCTTATTCTCAGTGGTCTGCGTCTCTTTATGGCCGATTGAAAAAGCTATACAACGTTGCCTAGCACAAAATAAGAAACGCAAAGTTTGTATTATATAGCCAAGCACAGGAATGCTAAAAAACTTACCTTTTTAATAAGGATGAAAATAAGTCAATTGCGAAACACTGTATGTAATGTACTGTTTAATAAACGAGCAGGAGTGTTTTATTAGGTTTAAAGCCATAAGCGCGCAGACCGAGTGGCTTTAGACCTAATAAAACACGACCTGCGGAGTTTATTAAACGGCTTGAAACACGACAACAAATTCAATTACAGATATACACTGCCTTATTAGTCTTCTTTATAATTATAAAGAATGCTAATGAGGACACGACTACAATAGATACTGCCTTATTAGTATTCTTTATATAAAGAATACTAATTAGGAGTGTTTTATCAGGTTTAAAGCCACTGCACGTGACATATTATGGTTGACATGATTTGCCAATAAGCTTATGAACTATTATTATGTACTTAGTATATTGCATAACGGAAAAAACATTTACTGATACCTTTTATACTTTTGGATTTGTTACCAGTTTAAATGTGCTTATCACTTGTATCCATGTTCTTTCCAAAACGAATCCATAGTTGCTGACATGCACTATGAATTTAGAGTCTGTTTTTCGTCACGTGCGCGTACTGGATTCGCCATATATATCTAGCTCTCCAATGTTGTAGGACAGAAGTTTATATGTACCGTGCACGGAATACAGAATATTAAGCGAATATATTAATATTATTATACAGCCAAGGTTTTATACAGTACTGTATATATAGTGTAGTCTTTTAGTATTTTTGCACAAGTGAACATAATAAGTCCTACAACTTGATTGGTCAAATTTGACGTATTAAGCTGTTATATTCACCTACAGATGAATATAACAAAACTGAAATTTTCAAAATGGCGGCTAACCGTTTTGTGGAAGTTTACTGATAAAGAAATAAGCGAAATTAAAATAAATTCAGTACCAAATAACACAAAAGACTTGTGTAAAAATACTAAAACAATTATTGGCCACAGGCTCGGTGATTATCGTGGATTATTATATATCAATAATCAAAGTCGCATTTTTCTAGTGTTTTATTGGTTGAGAGCATATCACGTGAGAGTGACGAAATTAGGCTGTCTCCCTCGCAACAGCGCGGGAGGGAAACAATACGTTATCTACCGGCGAATAACAAAAAAAAATCACGCGCGCCATCACGTGAAGGTGCGACGTTTGGACATGCCTAGTACGTAATTAAAACTTTCGCTTTAAGTAACTGCAGTGTAGCCAGTGTTTAAATTTAATGTTTTAACAATAAAGTATTTCATGTATTTACGTTCATTTGTTCTTTAATTTGTTGTTTCTTTGACTATTGATATATAATAAAACACTTATTTACTGAGACCTCAGGAAAGCAGTGTGTTTTTTGGACCCTCGACCGTCG